CGGCGACCGTAATAACCATAAAACTGTCCGCTTGCAGATGTCAAGGGGTCGACGGAGAGAAAACGTCCTTGACGTTTGCAAGAACCGGAAATTCCTTTGTTTCTTTATTTTTTATCACTGCCAGATGTACCGCATGCCTGGTCGCGGAGAAAGCCGCCGGCCGCGTACCGCTGCCTGGCCGAACGGCCAGCGCGCCCCTACAGCGAGGGTTCATCGATGGCTGTCTCCCCCGCCAAACTAAACGGGGGTAAAAGAAGACAGCGAGTCCCCCAAAACAGGCGTGGCCTTTTTGGGGGACGTAATATAAATAAGAGACCCGAGTCAGTCAAGAGGACAGTCGATATTTTTCAGTTCAGTTTTTCGGAGCCCTCACAAATAAACACACCTAAAATACTGAGAGTCGCGAGCGAAGCGTCCGCAGTGGTGTTACAGCTGGCCGCCCCGGCGACGTTCAAGGACTTGTTCTTCTTCTCTTCGCTGTCTTCGAGGTCGATCGCTTCTTCGTCCGAGCCGTTCTGAACCTCGACGTTCATGGGTCCCGCCTTTTCCTCCGGATCTTTCTCGGACGCGTTGGACCCCCTGACGCCGGACAACGCCAGCTCGACGAGGTCCTCTTCAGGGTCCCTGGTGCTCGTCCAGGCGAGCGAATCGTCGACGGTGTCGTTCTCCGAGTAAATCTTCCGTTTCTTCATCTCCTCCTCGAGCTCCTCCGCGTAGTCCTCGGTTCTATTCGAGACGCCTTTCTCTCTGCTGTCGGGCTTCTTCTGCGACTCTTCCAGCTCCTTCAAGGACATCGTGGAGAAGACGTGCTCTATCTCGGTGCTAGCACGATGCCCGCGGTCCGACTCCTTGCCACGGGTCTCCCCGCGATTGGTACTCGTGTCCGGAATGTAGAACACCTCCAATCCGATGTCGTCGGCGACGGTCGACGGGACTACGGCGTCTTTAGCGTGCTCCTTCGGCGTTGTGATCGCGTGCCCTTTGTCCGACGACGCGTCCTGCCATTGTCTCTTCACGTTCCTCAGCGATTCCACCACGTAGTCGCTGTCGGAGATCGTCGAGGTCACCGGTGGTGTCTCTTTGCCGGCGGCAGGCGTGATCTTCACCGGGTCGCTGTGCTGCAGTCCGAACATCGTGTCGTCTAAATCGTAGGGATCCACGTCGATGAATATCCTTTCCTCGTCGGGGCCGAACGTTTCGTCTGGGATCGCGGTGTTCCGGTATAGAGTGTCCAGATTGTCCTCCATGTTCTGGTAACGCGGTTGCGTGTGCTTCGTTGGTGCGGCTTCTTTCCGGGTGTCGTCGACGAACGCCACCGGTGCTGTCCTGTGGGATCTGCCGGCGGACGACTCGGTTTGGAACGGCCAGTATTCCTGTTGGGCAAGCGACGATTAGGGGACGGTTCAAATTGTGTTTGTTAGGTTGGCGGGGAACGGTGCAAGATGTCCTGGATGTTGTTAGAATATTTCATCCTAATTAGGAGGATTAATTTTAGTCGGTATATTCGTCGATTACGCGACGAAGAAATCTTTGGTTGGAACGGAAACGATAGAATTTTGATGAGACGCGAGCATAAGCGGGATTAGGATTTAACGTTGATTTTTTGTTAAATGACATTTTGTATGGGAGAACAGGATCATTTGACCGGTTAGTTATGGAGTCTCCTTTTTAGAGCGCGCACTTATAGTGGGTGCAGAAAGTATTCGTACACCTTTTAAAACAGAATAACTTATGGAAATATATATTATATATTTTTATAATTAGGCAGAGTGGTCTAAATTTAGTCTAGTAAGCAGTGACTAAAAGATTATTTCCAAAAATTGCAATTTTTTGGCATAGTAAAAGAATGAGAAAATAATGTTTTTCTTTTTAAGTTTTTTATCTGAGCCTATAACGAGAATTTAAAAAACGCGTTTCGTACATCTCTCGGCAGCTTGTAACTCTGCTGAAAATTTCATCGAAATCGGTTGACCTTGATATGAATTGTAAGCAATAAAAGATCGCGAGAATCTCGCAGTTTTTCCACGAATTTCAACCAAAAGCAAATCATTTTTACATCCTTCAGTGGCCTGTAGCTTGATTATGATTCTTGCAATTATTATTATTATTAATTCTATGTGTATAAGTTACCGAGATCTATAAAATGCATTTTTTTTTTAAATTTTCGTTACAGCCTCAGATAAAAAAGTTGAGAAAAACATCATTCTTTTCAATCTTTTATCACGCCAACGAATTACAATTTTCGAAAATAATTTTTCAGCCTTTGTCTAGCAAACTAATCACTCTAACATCCCCAAAGAAATTTAGGCCTTTTGGCCCAACTATAGTAAAGTTATTACGTTTTAAAAGCGTCGCGAGAATCAAGCGACGACGAGTATACTCGTCAAACACAGCTAATTGGTTAATCGCAAACGATGTCTTTCATATAGTTGAGACAGGAAGTTTTCAATCAAACGAGTAAGATACACGAAATTGTTAATCCTACGAGTGATGCAAATTTTGCTATTTTGATTGCATTTTTTTATTGCAATCTTTTTATTCCATCAAAGGTGTAGAGTTTCGGTTGGACAAAATTGAAAGAAAAGGAAAAGCTTGATTTATTATTTCTTGCTAATATTAATGTCGCGACGAAGTGGAAGGACCAACGGATGATCAAGATATTGTCGTCAGACACGGAAAGTCCTTTCAATTCAGTCGTCACGCGGTCTCACCTTAAGGCTCGATATAAAATGAGTTAAGTGCGGCACGAGCGTAGAGGCACTTGACGACGCAGTCGATTCCACGGATTCGTGGTATCCAGGCTGACATATTAAATGTCCGTCAAAGATAGTCCAGAAATATAGCAAGCAGGAAAGTAAAGAATCGTCGGAAGAAGATTAGTTTCACCGGCTTTTTTTTCATCTCGGAAATACCGGGATACGGGCAAGAGGGATCAAACTTTATCCATTTTTCTGCGTCGGTGTCGGAACGAGGTTTCATAACTTCACGCGACGCTTCTATGCGTATTTTTATCCATCGATTTGCAACATTTCATCGAGCTTCGAATATCTTATTGTTACTTTTTATACAATAATATAAAACAGCTGTCTTTTGTGCTCCGTAAATCTACGGGGTGTCACGCAATGTCTCGTAATCAGCAAATGGAGGGTTCCTGAGGTCATTTGAAGCAACTTTTTCCTTTACAAAAATTTTCTCCACGGCTTCGTTTACGAGTTATTAGCGAAAAACAGTGACCAATGAGAGGCGAGTACGGCGGGCGCTCCGCCGTTGCGGGCCAATGCCGCGTCGCGCTGGTCGTCTGACGCGGCGGTAGTGGTCGCGAGGGCGGGGCGCCAGCCGTACGCGACCTCTCATTGGTCACTGTTTTTCGCTAATAACTTGTAAACGAAGCAGCGGATCGCATTTTCGCTAAGGAAAAAGTTGCTTCAAATGACCTCAGGAAGCCGTCATTTCTAGATTACGAGAAATTTTTGGGACATCCTGTAATGTTAAATTATAGGCGGCGGTAGAGTAGTAATTTAAAGCCAAAGATAAGTTTAAATTTAAAAATAATATAAATAATATCAGACAGGCGGGCAACTAGGAATAGTTGCACGGTCGACGCTTTGGCCATCCGTGCGTTATACCGACGCAAAAAAACTGACCAACTCTGATTCCTTTTCTTCGAGAAAGCCAATTATCCGTCACCTTGCTTAATTACCTGATTCTGAGAAGTTACTGTCTGCTCTTTGCGCAAGTCGGTCGAATCTGGTGGCGTGGGATTAGGTTTTTGTTTCTTCTGCGGCTTCTTCGTGGGCTTGTTGTTCGGATTGATCTCCTCGCTGTCGATCGGAATGAATCGATTCCCGTAGGCGGCTGCAGAAAGTTCACGGTAAACCATATATTGATATATATTACGTGTATTTATTAATTATTTTATATACAGGGTGGTCCACCTAAATAAGGCCACCTAAATATCTCCTCTAGTTGCGGGGGTACAAAAAATCTTTTTTATACTATTTCAATGGTTTGGAAAAATCATCGTATTGCAAACAAAATTTTGTTATTATAGCACCTAATATAAGAATATATTAGAAGAGAGATAAGATATATTAGAAAGATAAGAATATATATATTATATATTATATATATTATATATTATATATTAGGTGTTATATATATATATATATATATATATATATATATATATATATATATATNTATATATATATATATATATATATATATATATATATATATATATATATATATATATATTAGAGAGATAAGAATATATTAGAATTATTAATATATTATAAGAATATATTTATAATTATACGCATTAATTTCTACCAAAAGAATTTGGTAGAAATTAATTCTTCAATTCTAAACTTGTCACAAAATATCTTTTTAGCGCATTAAATAAACACGTAAACGTGTACCACCGGCATGGAACATGTTAATAAATTGTCAGTATTTCGCTTCATAAATTCAACGACGATGAAATGAAAAATCTGAAACCGTATCGACTGCTCTGATTGCGCGAGTATTAACAGACAGCTAAGCAGCCAAATTGTCGATGCGAGCGCTGGACAATTTAGCAGTTAGCCAAGCCGATTGTTAATACGATATCGATAAATCTAGACAATTGGAACGTGAACAAATTCGATGTCGTTGTCGTTGGTATAATTTACCTGTTCGATCGGTGTACAAACTTTCTCCCGAATTCGCTGGCGCCGAGTCCAAGTTCGCGTTTCGTTGAAGATAGACGGAATTACTTAATCGCAAATACTCCTCGCTGCTGATCTGCTCTTTCGTGCGAAATTTTACGATAAGCTGCGTCTGCGCGTGCGAATTTCCCGCTGCAACACAAACGGTGATCCACGTTGAATCTATCTGCGCGACGTTCGACTTTATCGGTGTCGGAACAATACGCGGTTCGAAGCGCGAGATCTGAGAGTTCCTTTGTCGCGACAGATCGGTAACGATGTGCAGTAAATTCTGCCTAATCGACGCTCAAATTGCGCGCAAAAATGGACAATTTGGGGTAGAGGAGACACGATTATTCGAGCCCTGCGGCTCGTTTTTATAGTCGTTGACAATATCTTCTGGTTCGTTTTGCGAGCAAATGTAAATGAAAGCAAAATGGAATGTTTAAGAGAAACGAATTTTGTTGCCGCGTTATGACCACGATAACCATGACAATAAATTAATTATTAGTAACTTTCATCGAAAAATGCCAGTTTGGTTGGCGAAATTGAAACCGGAAGTTTAATACGAAAATTAGCATGTCTCCTCGCATTTGCTGTTACCGAAATATTAGCTTTTTTTTTTCTTTTTAGATTGTTTTTTTTCCACACTAATTGCGAGTTTAACGCTATAGCGACTTTGATGTTTATGAGTGATTTTAATACAACGAAAATAAAATTGTTTATACTTCTACCATATAAAATTTGCGGCAACTTTGCAACGAGACGATTTGACAACGTTGACGCTTTATGTATAACGTTCTCATACGTGAAATTACGTAAAATGTTAACGAGATCTACCTAAACACGCGTAAACACCGGAATCGGATGCCGTGATGTCGTTTATCTTCAATGCTCCCTTCCTGCTGATCTTGTACTTCCTCGATTTCCTTAATTCTTTATTATCCTTAGTCCATATGATCTGCGCCCTGAGAACATTTCCATTTTAGATAAGACATTTATGGACTGCAATTACAAAGTAATTCAATTACATCGCATTCGATTACGTTGCGATTCGCAAATCTGATCTCGCGTTCAATTCAATTACGTTGCAATTATTAATTGCAATTGAAGTAGAATTGCAGAGTGCGATCGAATTGATTTGATAACACCATCTGAACCGGAATCAACTTTGCTATAATTCTATTATACAATTGGGTTTCAGTTGTACAGGATATCCCATAATTATGTCAACACTCGGAACAAATTGATTCCTGAGGTCGTTTGAAGTAACTTTTTCCTTTACAAAAATTTTCTCCGAGGCACCGTTAACGAGTTATTAACGAAAAACACTGACCAATGAGAGGCGCGCTTATTTGGCGCATGGCGGCCGAGCCAAGGAGTGGCGGAGGCTCGGTTCCGGTCATTGGCTCGGCTGCCTCGCGCCAGCCGCGCTCGCATCTCATTGGTCATTGTTTTTCGCCAATAACTCGTTAACGGTGCCTCGGAGAAAATTTTTGTAAAGGAAAAAGTTACTTCAAATGACCAAAAGTTACTTCCGGGTGTTAACATAATTAAGGGACATCTTGCATCTAGTTCGTTTTTACTCTCTAATGAACGAAATGCGAATTCAGAATTGTTTTTAGTCAAGCAAATCGTGTCGTTTAGTTATAGCGTTGTTATAATTATAACAATATAGTTATAATGATACATTATATAGATGAATATTAAGTCGAATTAATAAACTAAACTATTATAATTATATTATAAATAATATAATAATATTATATTATAAAATAAACTATTCCCTTTGCATATTTCAATATTGTTTAAAAACAACGAGCGTAAACAGCGTAAAAGAAACTTTCGAGTGAACTAATATCTAAGCTATGGTCATGACAACGGGAATTATCTAATGAACGATTTAATTAGAGGGTTTCAGTCGCGTAATTCGATTCACAACGTAACAGAAGTACAATGTAATGAGATTACACAACTGACATAGCACAAATGTGCGAATCGTGTGGATTTACTTGTCGAACTTCCTGACGGGACATCGAATCTTGATGAACTGCGTCCCTTGAAAGACTTTCGCGGTACCGCCGATCTTCAGATCCACTTTCGCGTTCAGCTCGGTTTGATTGTACGTGGTGTTCTGACTGGAAATGATCGGCAAGGAACCAGCGTCCATGTCGTGACAGGCTCTGGTGTTACAGGGCCTCTCGGTGGCTGGTTTCTGCGACGAACATTCGCGATCCTCTCGACTTTGTTCACGTCCCTGGGCCATTATTTGGCCGCACGACACTTTCCGTTTCATCACGCCTCCCCCGCAAGTTTTGGAACACTGCAAAACGTTTCGAATTACCATTTTCAAAATTTCTACACTCCAAAAAGTAGTGATAATACTCCTCGGGCGAATCACGTGAGGGAAGCTAATATTTTCTAATTATTAATTATTACTAATTATTTCGTATTTTCATATTATTTATGTACTCAACGCGTTCATTGCCAGCGACAATTATAATTTTATCAGTTAATTTTGTGTACACGGTTGTTCGAAATTACAACGCGTAACATTCGAAAGGTTTTCTTCTATATGTTGCTAATTTTGCGTCTACTGGGCACCGGAAGACTAATTAATTGGCTTTTCATTGAACACGCTGCGTCAAAACGAAGTTTCATAATTTTCTTCTCGGTCGAATTTGCAAATATAAATGATTAAATTATCTCTACTCTGTTCAATAATGCGACAGAAAATTCGAACTATATCTGCCTACGATTTTGTTTTTGGGTGTCCCAAAATTATGATACTTCCGGGAAATAAGAGATTCCTGAGATCATTTGAAGTAACTTTTTCCTCAGCGAAAATGCAATTCACGGCTTCATTTACAAGTTATTACCGAAAAATAGTGACCAATGAAAGGTGAGATATGCTGGCGCAAGGGCGGCCGTGCCAATCAGCGGAACTGGGCTCCGCGCACTCGTTGGCTGGGCCGCCGCGCGCCAGCCGAGCTCGCCTCTCATTGGTCAGTGTTTTTCGTTAACCCTTTGCACTCGAATGGCGACTCTGAGGCGCCACTAAAAATTGGTGTACTATTTTTCAAAATCATTCTAAGAGCATCGGACTCGTTTCTACTTGAAAAGAAACTATTAAAATTGCATTGTACTTGTCAACAGGCTCAATTTCATGTGCATAAGTCGCAATAAATTATATAAAATAGAACTACTGTCGATCAGAAGTCATGTTTTGGATTTCGAATTCGAATAGCTTCGACCGCAAAGGGTTAATAACTCGTAAACGAAGCCGCGGATTGCATTTTCGCAAAGGAAAAAGTTACTCAGAATGACCTCAGCTACTCCACATTTCCGTATTGCGAGACATTTTTGGGACACCCTGTATATATTCGCTTCCGTCGTGATTATCACGACGAAGCCACGAACACGTGCATCGAAGTGTACCGACGCGATCGTGGAAGAACAAAAGAAATTACACATACCTTGCCCCATTTTCCGACATTCCATTTCACGGGACAGTCGAACACGTTGCAGTATTGTCTGTCGGCCGGCGGTGGCTGCGGGCACATCTTGTTCGGCACTGGCACCGTCTTACCTGTGGATCCTCTAGTCACCTCGTGTATACAGGTGACGTATCGCGTTTGTATTCCGAGACCGCACGGGCTCATGCAGGTCGAAAACTCGCTTAAATTCCATCTGCGGACGAGACAATCAGTCGCAACGATCAAATTCCACTGCACCGAAATATTTACGTTCGAAAATGCTCGTGTTTATTGAACACGGTCAACGCTTGTAAATCGGACGTGTCCGATTACACGTGTCTATATTATGTTATTTTTTCTATCGACTATTTCACGCAGTTCGAGATCTAATCCGTTAATTGTTATTCGCGGTAGTAACTGTGTAACGAGTTTCATGTTTCTGTTTACGGTTCTCAGAAAAGCGGAGGCTATTACCGTTTTAACAATACTCGAATAAAGATCATTATTGTAAAAACGTTGGCATTGCCGAGTACAGTTGATCGTTATTCTAAAAATAAGCTTTCCGACGACTGTAGTTAACAGTTCGCAGATCTTACGAATTTACAATAAAGATTAGTGAATAAAATACGAAATAGCATAAACTCGGAGAAATGAAAGATTGCAACTGTTTTCAATTTCGCGCGATGGTTAAGGTTATTTGATAATTTTTGTAAAAACCATTTTATTTAAGTATTTAAATATTAATGTTATAAATATTATTTAATATTATATTTAATATTAATATAATATTAATTATTATAATATTAATATAATATTATTTAATATTATAAATATTGTATTTAATATAATTATTTAATATATTAAATATTATATTGTTGTAATATATCCCATTGTTACGTTCGCACTGAAAGGGGTGATTCCTGAGGTGATTTGAAGTAACTTTTTCCTTAGCGAAAATGCAATCCGCGGCTTTGTTTGCGAGTTATTAACGAAAAACAGTGACCAATGAGAGCCGAGATCAGCTGGCGCGAGGCGGCCGAGCCAATGAGCGGAACAGGGCTTCGAGCGCTCGTTGGTTCGGCCGCCTCGCGCCAGCCGAGCTGGCCTCTCATTGGTCACTGTTTTTCGTTAATAACTCGTTAACGGGGCCTCGGAGAAAATTGTTGTAAAGGAAAAAGTTACTTCAAATGACTTCAGGAATCGTCCCCTTCCGGGTGTTAACGTTATTATGAGACAACCTGTATAAATCGTGCGAAATCTGAGTAAATCCAACATTATTATTAATATTATTATTATATTGTAAAATAATGTACTTATGTACTTGTAACGAAGAAAATTAACGAATAAATTAATAATCAAGAAAACGTAGCTTTTTAACGAACTTCATAGGTTGATATACTTCACCTCGGAGGACAAGGATGATCGTTGCAAACCCTTACTCTTGCTTCCGGTTTGGTCTCCGCGGTGCACAGCAATGGTATCACGGTTTTGCCCGTGTCGTCCTGTATGCAATTTATTATCAAGTCCTGCACACCTAGAACATCGAAATGTCCAGTTTGATGTACCGTATCCGTATAAAGCATTCTCATCAAGGATTTCTGTCGTTACGACGAGCAGATCGATACGAATCGCAGCAGCCCCTTTTATGCATCGATACGGATATACCGGACCGCCGCTCAGTGCAATTAATAGCACAATCTCGTCAAATTATTCGGAACAGTTAAACGCTCCCTGGGAAACGAATCCCAGATACATTCTGTTAATCCTTTCGGATTTGATTTTCGATAATACCCTGACTTATGTTCCCGGCTGATTATCGTCGACTGGAGTACACTATTTATGGAACACTAATGATCGCGATCGGAAGTAGATAATTCCACTGAAAGGTCCTACGTGCCTCGATAATGGTCCTTGTGAAATGGTAATTTTAATGAACTTTCGTTAAATTAATACTCGATTTCCCTGGTTTTGATTGCCGCCGGGCACTCTTCAGTCCCGCGACCATAACTGCCGACTTCCTCGTTAATTTAATAATCCACTTTGTTTTGCTGTATTTTTTTTTTTTTTTTAATAAGCGTCCCATAACTTTCGCTTTCTTTCGCCATTAATCGATATTTTCCGGAAACGATATCCGCGTTCTCGTTTATTCTAATAATAAATGACGCTGTAACTGTTCCGAAGGTAACAAATTCTCCCAAATCGATGCTCAGATTGTGCAGGAGAATGGACAATTTGGGAAGAGGAGATGCGATTTCTATAATTGTTGACAATCGGTAACTATAAAAACGGGCCACTAAGGCTCGAATAATTATTCGATATCTGTTCCCTGTTTAATATACGGTGTCCGACTAAAGTCTTTGTACGAAACAACGTAATTCGATTGTTCCACTTCAAGGTAACTTGTTAGTCGATACAGTGAACTTTAAAACATTAAAACATTACTTTAACACTTTGCCGTACCATTGTCTTCACAGTTACAATGGTCAAAACTTTTTTGATTTTATAAGCATTTCTTAGAAGGAGAAGATAATTTATATTATATTCCTTATTATTATTAAGTTATATAAGTATAAGTTTGAACATTAAAACCTGGGACACCCAGTATACAAAAAGACATCAAATCGATAGAAATCGGTATAAAAAAGTATCATCCGATGAAAGAATCGATGAAAAATATCCAATAAAATCGGACTCACCTCCCAAGCAGGTGGCGCTGCAAGGCGCGTAGCCAGCTTCCTTCCACGAGTAGGTGGTCTGCACGTCGCTCCCGGCGGCGACCTTGATCCGTGACTCGTATCCACCACCGGAGCTGCCCGCGGACGATCTGTAGGTGTCCGTCAGGCTGGGCTCGGCGTAGCCGCTGTCGCCAACCGCGTCGATGCCGTAGGAGAGGCTGTTCTCAATTATTCCGCATGGATCCATCACGCATTTCTCGGTCTCGATCGGCTTCGGGCCGGAGCACTGCCGGTCCGGCAGATCGGCGATGGTCCGACTGAACTCGAGGAATATTTTGCAGCGTACGTCGCGACGCCGGATCCCCTCGCCGCAGGTGACGCTGCACGGCGACCAATCGTCGGCGATGAACCTGGAGGGTCGCATTGTTTTGATGACTCGCGTACGAAACACCGGCCGCCGAAATTTCGGTCCCTGCATTTCGGGCTGCAGCGGAGTCCGTTCCAGAATTCTGCGCGGTTTACCTTGGTCTCCCGCTCGAATTGGGCTTCTCTGAGCCAGGCATAGGCACCCGAGATACTCGCTACCGATCGAACTCTGACGGAAATCTACTTATCAGATCGTGCCATAAGCTTCTGTCGCTCTATACTCTTCGCGGTATAAACACGGAGCGATTGGTGGTCGAAGGAAAAGAGTTCAAATCTTCAGGGACGGCGGACGTATAGTCTTCGCGCGACAAGAAGGCACCTTCGCTGTTCGCTTCCCCCTCCTACTAGCTGCCCCACTGCCGCAGCTGTCGGCCGCTAGCGGCCGCCGTCGGCATCCGTCGCCGTTCTCGGCAGCTAGCGACCGATCGCCGCCACAATGTCGCAGCCGTCGGCTGCTAGCGGCCGCCGTCGGCATTCGTCGCCGTTCTCGGCCGATAGCGACCAACAGTTGCGGCAGTGGGGCAGCTGCCGATAAGTGGGCAAACATTTAACCCTTTGACATACAAATAAAACGGAATTTGAAAAATACTATTTAATCTGGTTCGTCTGAACAGTTATGTGCAAGTCGTAAAAGAGAATGCGTTATTATAACATTTAATCAGGTCGATATATAATGTTCATGGAGAACGATTAAATAACATTATGAAATAATAATTTAATAGTTCTTTAAGTTATGAAACATTTCAAAAGATTTTGGTATGTGTAGTATACTTATTATGTATTATATTATTATGTATATGTATTATGCTTATACACAATAATTACGGGGATTATTTATAATTTTTACTAAACTCAAATATTGACTAGTATGGCATTCGCCATGCGAGATCACTGCTATACTGAATACTGCTTTCAATGTGCTTCTTTCTGATTTACTGATTCGTGGATGCAACTTCGTTATTATTATACTGTCGAGAAGGTGGTAGGGAGGGGGGGGGGGATCTTGAACATTGCGAACAAACCAGAATCGACGCACGAGTAAAGCAACTGAGTGTGTGTGTGTGTGTGTGTGTGTGTGTGTGTGTGTAATCTAATAATATGCTATATTATAATAATAATAATAATACTATAATAGTATAATATTATTATATATTATATATTATTATTATTATTATTATTATACTATACTATAATACTACTGCTATAATAATATACTGCAAGGCGTCCGCCGAAAACAGCCCTCGACGAGTTTAAACTCGTCAAAGTCTACAGTGGCACGTGAAATGAACGACGACCCCAACTAGTCATTGTATGTCAAGGGGTTAAAAGGAAAGTGGGTGATCAGGAAGTGGCGCGCGAACTTATGGCACGATCTAATACACAGGATCATTCTACGCGCTCCGGAGCGTTTCAAAAGCCCCCATGCCTGCTCTAAGGTGCTAGGCTTTCCGATTTTTCTATTTGAAAGACGAATTTTTCGAACTTGTCTCTGCCAAACTCTCGAGCTTGTCGAGGTCCTTGCGGTCGTCTCAATTCGGAGATAGCTCGCAAAGAATTGATCTTTCAAGGTGTTCTCTACTGTATCAACACAATTACCTCCGTTTTGGGAACAGTTTCTAACAATTATGCCGACACGAGACATCGTTCTTAACGCAGTCGATCGTTCCGTTCGAAAGTTCGTCTCGAATCTTCTACGCGAATTCAACGAAATCAATTCTATGAAACGTGGAACGAACGTTCGAACAATTTATTACAGTTCGTTCGAAGATAATTTATGTCAATATACAGAGTGTCCCGAAAATGTCTCGCAATCCGGAAATGGGAGGCTCCTGTGGTCATTCGAAGCAACTTTTTCCTTTGCGAAAATGTTCTCCGAGGCTTCGTTTACGAGTTATTAACGAAAAACGGTGACCAATCGCAGAGCGAGTGCGGCCGGTGCTCCGCCCTCGCGGCCAATGCCGCGTCGTGCCGGCCGTCTGGCGCAGCGGCAGAGGTCGCGAGGGCGGGGCGTCAGCCGTGCGCGATCGCTCGTTGGTCACCGTTTTTCGTTAATAACTCGTAAACGAAGCCGCGGATCGCATTTTCGCTAAGGAAAAAGTTGCTTCAAATCACCTCAGGAATCTCCTACTTTCGGATTACGAGACATTTTTGGGTCATCCTGTGTATACAGAAACCACGCGCACCGTGCATATTTCCGGAGCGAGTTACCGTTCGGTGACGGTACTTCGGCGGATGGTGCTGCCGTAGCGAAAGGGTTAAACGTCCGTCCACGTCGGAATCTACGCGACAAACCTTCCAAGAGGAATGACCCGATTCTATCCGTTATCACCGCTTCGCAATCTGTCCTAAAATATCAACGAACGACGCGGAGAAAGCTCGTGTCTCCCAGTCGGTTCCGATAACAGAGGTTCTACCGTGTTCACCTAGGAACTCTACCGTTCCAGCTAGCTGCTAGTTTACCTTCTCTGTCCGACATCGACCGACCAAATACCTTTTTTGCGACGGGAGGAGAAGAAGTCAATATGTATTCGGGCCGGAAAGATGTGTTCTTAATGGCTCGCGAGCGGGGAGCCTGGAGAAATAATTGAACAATCGCCGCGACATAATACGACGACGGTATTCGGAGCGGCGCGGCTCGAGGCGGGCACAGTTATTCATTGGTCCCGGTGCTCGTAGGAAATCGCGATAAATCAACGAACATGAAAGGAGCTGATTCTACGCGAGCGCATTCGTCTCTTTTTATTCGTTGGGCAAACGTCGGCGACGCGACGCGGCGCGACGTGGCGCGGCGCGCACAGAGCGCGCGGAATTTATTGGCCCCTCTGCAGCTATTCGTGTAGTTCCTAAAGCGACGCGTGCACGTCTCTCTCTCTCTCCCTCTCTCTTTCTTGCGTCATCGATTAAACTGAATAAATAATGCTCGGTTATTCGGGAATCAGCCTTTCAGCGAACGATGGAGCCGTTTCTCGGTCCTCGTTCACTCGACGCGATCTGAGAGAAACCCCTCGAAATCCTCGAGTGTCTATTTTTCGGCCGAGCCCGCGAATCAATGATCCTTGTCGTCGATAATCTTTTTTAACCCTCCGCTTTCACCACTCTACGACCGGCTAGAAATCGACTCGAGTTTCTTTCTTTGCCCGTGGAACGTTTTTCAAAAGCGCCTAGCAATTTAGTTTCTAGCAATTTAGCGCCTAGTAGTTTAGTTATTCTCTTTTGCCCGAGACTTTTTTTTCAATCGGCGCCGCGATCGAGATAATTCGTAATTATTGTAATGCACGAACAGGATTTTAGGGACGATTATTGGACAACGGATACGGTACAGTAATTTCTCCCGGAAATGGCTAATCTTTGGGGTGCTGCGAATTTCATTGTGACAGGCCTACGATCATGAGATTTATTGCTACGTCGATGCCAAGGATTGTTCCGGAAGACAATGCAAAATGGTCTGTTAGGGTGGTAGAGTAATTTCTCACTAATTCGCGCTTTTATTGTTATCGATTGTCGATAACAATAGAAAAGAGACGCGAGATTATTCGAATAATCGTATCTCCTCTTCCCAAATTGTCCGTTTTTGTGCGCGATCCGAGCGCGAATTAGGGAGAAATTACTGCGTTACGTTTTTGATATCTGATTTAACTCTTTAAATTTTAATTGATAGAATAAACGAATTAGATTAGTATTATGTTATTAAATAAATTAAATTAGTATTATTAATACTATATAAATTACTATATTGTATAGCATTAATATTAATACTATATAAATACTATACAAATTAAATTAAATTAATGTTATTAATATGATATATAAATTAAATAGAATAAATATATTAAATAATATATAAAGTATAAATTATAAATTATAAATAAAAACTGTGGCCTCCGAATTGCTTTCGAATCGTGTCACGTGGCCTCCGAATTGCCTTAGAATCGTGTCAAGTGTCCTCCGAATTGCCTCCGGATCGTGGCAAAAAATTAGAAACGAAAAAGTCAAGTCATCCTTTTCTCATTCTAGTATTATTATATATTAATTTTTGCCGACTGCCCCTAGTTTCTAATAAAAACGAGCCACGAGGAGAATCGTGACTCAGTATTCCCAGATCTGCCGGTTTCAATTCCGACCTCCGAACATTTCACAGGAGAAATTACCGTATCTTCGTAAATCTCGACGCCAGCTGTACGCATCGCTCCAAAAAAAAGATTACCAAGAATTTTCGCTGCTTAAGATAATCGCCGGGTGAAAAGGCGGAATCGCGACGCGAAATTTTGTCCCGAAGAAATTTCTATGGGGGATGGGGGGAGGGGCCTCGAGAACCGCGGCTCGCGTATCGTCGACCGCGTTAACGGAATTCCCGAATCGCGATCGTTTCATTTCATTGAACAAGATGTATCTGTGCGAAAGAGAGGGACGTTGATCCTCGCAGGAAGAAGAATCTGGATGCAGGAACCTGCGTAAAATCCAACAGGCGAGCACGTGTAGACAGTTCTACGCTATAAATTATGCATGCTAAGCCTACCGGGGTTACCGTGGAATAACGCAAGCCAGAAAAAGGGGGTTTCAGGGGGAAGGGGTGGGGGAGGAGAGAACATCGGCGAAGAAACGGTGTACGATAATAGTCCCACGTAACATTATCATCGTAAGTCTATGCTAATGCTTGTTCTACGGCATTCGCGTTATGCGCTAATTAAATCACGGTAAATCTCGTAATCTCATAAATGCATTAGGAGCAAGAGGCAGGAAAACGTTAAGCGAAAGAAAGAAAAAGGAGATCCCAATAGAGAGCGAGAGAGAGAGAGAGAGAGAGAGAGAGAGAGCTAGAGAGAGAGAGAGAAGGAGGAAGAAAGAGGAAACTGAGGAGATTAAGCTACGTTGAATTTCAGCGGCGGCGGCGGCGGAGAGAGGATCGGGCAGAGTTGGAAAACTGTTGCGCGCGTCAGCAGAAAATGGAGACCGTCGCGAAACTATTCTCCCTCGGCTCGCCAAAAAATTCCTATTCTCTTACGAGAGACCAACGAAATAAACATTACCATTAAATGAAACTACTAATCGCCTTCTTTTACGGAATCTCTTGCTGACGCACCCTATCCGGTGGGGGGGGGTGGGGGTGCGGCTTGTTTTTCTTCCCCCGACCGACGATGGAATAAGAGAGATTCGTTTATGAATTGAAGTTTAATCCTTGAACGAACTTGAATAATTTAACGAAACTCGGCCGACGTGTTCAACTTTTGTTATGCATTTAAAGATAAACATGAAGATTCATAGTCGATTCGATATTACAGTAAATTCTTCACAAACGACGCTTATATTGTGTGTAAAAAAAATGGACAATTTGTGAAGAGTTTCTCCCCTTTTTTGAAAAATTTAGCTTCGACTTTTACAGTGTTTTATGTATCTTCGATTCACGTACCGTAAATTCTCCCTAATTGACGCTGATATTGTGCAAAAAAGTGGACAATTTAGCGAAAGTTTCTCCCCTTTCTCGAAATATTTAGCTTCGACTTATACAGTGTTTTATATATCTTCGATTCAGGTATCGTAAATTCTCCCTAATTGACGCTGATATTTTGCAAAAAAAGAATTGAAAATTTGTGAAGAGTTTCTCCTCTTTTTTGAAAAATTTAGCTTCGACTTTTACAGTGTTTTATATATCTTCGATTCAGGTATCGTAAATTCTCTTTAATTGACGCTGATATTGTGCAAAAAAAGAATGGACAATTTGTGAAGAGTTTCGCCTCTTTTTTGAAAAATTCAGCTTTGACTTTTAAAGTGTTTTATATATCTTCGACTCATATACTATAAATTCTCTCTAATCGACGCTCATATTTTGTAAAAAAATGGACAATTTGACAAAAGTTTTTCCCCTTTCTCGAAATATTTCGCTTCAACATTTACAGTGTTTTATATATCTTCGATTCACGTACCGTAAATTCTCCCTAATTGACGCTGATATTGTGCAAAAAAATGGACAATTTGGCGAGAGTTTCTCCGCTTTCTCAAAATATTTAGCTTCAACTTTTACACTCTTTCGTATATCTTCGATTCACATACCGCCCCACACGTCTCGAATAAATAAAGTTTGCAATATTAAATATGCAACATAAAAAAAATGTAACGCTCAAATTTATACGCCACAATGATCACGCGTTCCATGCATCGTTTATTTCCCAAAAATGATCGCGCTTCGACATAATTGACTCCACAATAAATCGCCGGTCCATTTTTGCAATTCGTTCGAATGTTTACTTGCTGCGTGCGCAAGTTTAACTATTTCTCACAAACTATCGAAAAGTGGCCCGCTCAAAAAACCGCACCCCTCGTCGATTCGTCTCCGGCAAAAGGGATCGATGAGCGAACAGGGCGAAGCGGGGGTTGCGGGCTGAAGCGTTCAGGCTAAAGTCATTTTCGGGGGAGGCTGCGGGGCGTGCGGTCGGTGTAGGTGGTGTATGCTTTTAAAACTTAGCCCTGATTTCGTCGTGAAACGGGCGGCGGCGGTCGGAGGACTTCGCAGACCCGCGGCGAGTTGCGAAAGCGTGCGAGGAATTCAACGCGAGAGGCGACGCGCGGGGGTGTGCGCGATCGTAAGGAGGGAGGTTTCGGTAACACACAAAAAAAAAAGAAAATAGAGGATAATTCGAAGAAGAGGGCACTGGGGAGTGCGTCCCGTCTGGGTGTCTTTGGAAGCCGAGGGGCAAGGGGGAACGTAAACAAACGGAGGGAGAAGTAGAAAGAAGAAGAAAAAGAAGAAAAAGAAGTAGAAGAAAAAAAAGAAAAAGAAATAGAAGAAGTAGAAGAAGAAGAAGAAGAAGAAGTAAAAGTAGAAGTAGAAGAATAAGAAGACGAAGAAGAAGAAATAGAGAGAGACAACGAGGGTGCGAGTGAAAGAAGAAGGGGGTGGAAGAAGAGAACGAGAAGAAACGAAAGACAGAGAAGAAGAGTTAAAGTGATAGAAGAAAGAGACACAGTAATGGGATACCTCAGATACAACCAGCCACAGGCAAAGTAGATCGTATATCTGTCGGGACAGATCAATTCACGTCAAGAAATGAATGCTTTCAACACGGTGAGATTTCTATCTAGCCGTCGTATGGTAAGTTTCTTTCCCGGGCAACCGACGAGAAGCTCTATCAACGTTTCTACGCACGTTTTTAGGACACCTGGAACCCGCCCGTGTACGCGCGTTTCACTATGCTTTAGCGATCCTCTTTGGTACTCACGTGGATTCCGACGGGATCGGCTGGTCGATTAGCTTCTCCGAGACCGGCGGGGGCGGGTACGGCTGCATCAGGGGTTGAGTCATCTCCTCGCCGTCTGGAAAAAAAGATTTCATCCCGTGCTATCTTGTCTCGACAGGCTGATTCGCTTTTAAGAGACGTTCAACCCTCCCGCGGCGTTCGTCAAAAAAAAAAATTATGGCTACGGTGGCTGCAGGAATACACGTTCGTGTCCTTGGAAACTGCGCTGTGATACGATGCTTTCGGGATCGTTGGATGAAAGAGAGCAAAAGTTTGTTTCGTGAATTTAATTTTCATTCCGATAAGATAGCGATCATCTCTTGCTAATGACAGTGTTCGCATAGTTTTTGAAATTACTCGACGTTCGGACGTAGAATAATTTTCTGATGATTTCAACTCGATGCTATTTCGATTAATTTTAGTTAGTATTTTAATTTTTTTTAGCGATTACAGTTTAGTCTGTGTTTCGAATACATTGAACATACCATTTCACACTATACAGCGTGTTCCAAATATGTCTCTCAATCTGGAAATAAAGGGTTCTTGAGGTCATTTGGAGCAACCTTTTCCTTAGCGAAAATGCGATCCGCGGCTTCGTTTACGAGTTATTTACGAAAAACGGTGACCAATGAGAAATCGCGTATGGCTGACGCGCCGCCCTCGCGACCACTATCGCCGCGTCAGATGACCGACGCGCTGCGGCATTGGCCGCAAGGGCGGGGCGCCGGCCANTGTCTCTCAATCTGGAAATAAAGGGTTCTTGAGGTCATTTGGAGCAACTTTTTCCTTAACGAAGCCGCGGATTGCATTTTCGCTGAGGAAAAAGTTACTTCGAATGACTCGAGGAACTCGCCATTTTTGGATTGCGAGACACTTACATATAAATTATGTATAATTATAAATATAAAATTATATAAATATAAATTAAAAATTAGATATAATTAACGTGTGACTTAATCTCTTACTTCAAACTGTAATTTGTCTTTCGACGCGCGTTCCAATATTTTATGCAACGTTAGAACAGTTTGTGTTAAACAAATTACGATGTCAATTTCTATTTGAATCGAATGCTCGCTATGAAAGTGATTTATATTTTCTGAGGAAACAGATGTTTCACCATTGATTTCTAATGCAACGTAATTTCATACGTCCGAATTATAATCTAAATTCAATTATGTCATAGATCGGTGAAATATGGCTGCTGCACAGGTATCGAACAGAATCGCGAATGTTTTCTCACTTTGATCCACGCGTCGTAACGCGTGACAGACGTTTTGAAATCATTTGCAATTGTGATATCAACGACGATGGAAGAAGAACGTTCCACCGATCTTTGAGAATAATTTAGCAACGACGACGTCGAAACAAATTTTTGCTCGCCTAAAGTGCTCGTTCGCTGGTGACACATAAAATGCGCATTTTTGTACGCGGAACCAAGTAATAACCGTTGCGGACAACTTTCTGTCCGTAAATGTGGGAGTGTCAATGGCAACGATAGCACCGTAACCGAGGCTTAAGTCGTTCATCAGAGAAATCGGTGTTCTTGGTTGTATACAAGGTGTCGTGTTGTTAGACTGCAGATTTTTGCGCATTATTTTCCATAACTCTTTTATTAACAGAAAATATAGTTTCTGTTGAATTTCGATAAATCGGTTATGTCAAGGTTATTACTTTTTCTTATTATTTATTATTTTATATATTTTATATAATATTTATTACATTATACAAAAATCAATCCAGCAAATAGTTTTTTATTTACCACCTGATACGATTCGATCGCGAAGGCATGCGGCAATGTATTTTGTCTTTTTTATCTTTTCTTATTATTTTTATGGATTTGAATCGTGTCAGTTTACGCAGACATCTCACAAAGAGAGAACCTATTTTATACCTTCTTTAATTAAATAAAAGTTCTAATTGAAAGTTCCAATCGCGAAAAGTATTAAAGTATTATTTCCATAACTAAATATAATTCAACAGTATCTAATAGAAATTGTTTTCCAGAAAATTACTTTACTCCTGCTCAATTTAAAAGGTGAAACGTCACTTTCTATAGATAAAACCGTGTCGCACGGTTCTCCTCAAGTCATGGACCAGAATAGAGTGTAATAATTGGACCGGGAATTTTAAGCACCTATTAGAAAAATAATTGGATAAACTATAAAACCGTAAAGACATTGGTAGAATGCAAATCAAATGTCACATTATTTTTAACTCAACGGAATAGCCAAGATAGAAAATCAATTTTCAACTATTACGAACGAGGTGAAACATTTTCATTTTATATAAAAATCTGCAGTCTAGTATAACAACCATTTAACAATCTCAATTAGACGATACCGCATCGATCCAGCAATAATATACAACGTCTATGTTAATTTTCTAAAAGTATTTTCTAAAACTATAAAATTTCTGTCACGACACGTTGGCTTAGAAAAATTAGTACAGTAAATTCTCTTCAATTGTTCCTCAGCTTGTAAACAAAAATGGACAATTTGGGAAGAGTAGATATAGTTGGAATTATACAGTATGTCCCAAAATTATTGTACAAGTGGCAAACGAGAGGTTCCTGAGGTTATTTGAAGTAACTTTTTCCTTTACAAAAATTTTCTGCGAGGCACCGTTAACGAGTTATTAACGAAAAACACTGACCAATCAGAGGCCAGCTCGGCTGGCGGGAGGCGGCCGAGCCAACGAGCGGTCGAAGCCCAGCTCCGCCGATTGGCTCGGCCGCCTCGCGCCAGTTAATCTCGCCTCCCATTGGTCACTGTTTTTCGTCGATAACTCGTAAACAAAGCCGCGGATTGAAATTTCGCTAAGGAAAAAGTTGCTCCAAATAATCTCAAGACCCTTTATTTCCAGATTGAGAGACATATTTGGAACACGCTCGCCTCCCATTGGTCACAGTTTTTCGTCGATAACTCGTAAACAAAGCCGCGGATTGCATTTTTGCTAAGGAAAAAGTTACTCGAAATGACCTCAGGAATCTCCCATCTCTCGCTTTGTACAATAATTTTGGGACACTTTGTATGATTCCAACTGTATCACATCTTTCTAAATTGTCCAATTTTGTCTACAAACTAAGGCACAATTGGGTAGAATTTACTGTACAAAAACTTCGAGTATTAGAGTCGAAGAACCGCGCGCGTGCCCTTCATCGTCGGACACCCTGTACGTGGAAGCGTGACCCGGTCGTCACGGGAATGGCACTCGACGCGGCCGCATAGGAATGTAACTTATAAAACTTACATATCGGACAGGCGATGTTTGTTTTGCACTCCTGCTCGGTGTGCGGCCGTTCAGCGGGGTCGCAGTCCGTCGAGATGGAACCAACAGCGTCCCTGCACTCGACCGTCCTCATCTTGGTGCCGGTGCCACAGGTCACAGAACACTATCGATCACACGGGCAAAAGTAAATTTCATGCTGCTGGCGCAAATTGCTTTCAAACGGGACCGATGGGAGCATGATACAGCGAAAGGAGCCGGAACGTGGGCGAAATAATTAACGGACCCGTTCTGTCTTGAGGACGCCGAATTCGATTCGGTTTCTTTGGAAAACGCAACCGCGAAACGTATCAGTGACATTCGGGTCGCCGTAATGAAATCCACTTTGGAAAAAGATCCTCCAGCGGCGTTACATCGGTCTCGCGAAATTGTTTCTTCGTCACGAGTAGCTCTCCCTAACGCGTTGGCGTAAAAAGAATGCGTGAAAATCGTGCCGAGTTAAACGATAAAATGCTGAAATAAAATAAAATATGTAATAATAATAATAATAATAATAATAATAATAATAATAATAATAATAATAATAATAATAATAATTAATAATATTATTATATAATATTATAATTATTATATAATATAATAATAATAATAATTATTATTATTATTATCTAAATCTTAAT